TGTACAAGAGCATCGTTTCAAACTTTTGAACGAGTAATTAATTTTAACTTCATATACCACTTAATAAGTGGACTAACCCAAATAAAAATTTATTTTTTGGAGAAACGGGAACACCTAAGGTCTCAAACCTATTTAATATTAATAATATATCAGTGCATGATGCTTTTATTCAGTAAAACAAAAATATTATTTTTTAACTTATCTTAAAATATGTGGGCTACCCCATACGAAAATATCAATTTTTTTGATAAAGGCTATATATTGAAGTTAAGTCTCTTGATTGTTGATTAAAAATATCAAATCAGATAATCAATTTAAATTAATGTATTTTAAATTTATTGACATAGCACAAGATCATCGTTTCAAACTTTTGAATGAGTAATTAATTTTAACTTCATATACCACTTAATAAGTGGACTAACCCCAATAAAAAATTATTTTTTGGAGAAACAGGAACACCTAAGGTCTCAAACCTATTTAATCTTCATAATATGTCAGTGAATCATGCTTCCATGCAGTAAAACAAAAATATTATTTTCTAATTTATCTTGATATATGTGGGCTAACCCCTACGAAAAGATCGAGTTTTCGATAAAGACTATAAATTGAAGTTAGAGCTCTTGATTGTTGATTAAAAATATCAAATCAGATAATAAATTTAAATAAACGTATTTTAAATTTATTTACATTGTATAAGTGCATCGTTTCAAACTTTTGAACGAGTAATTAATTTTAACTTCATATACCACTTAATAAGTGGACTAACCCCAATAAAAAATATCTTTTTGGAGAAGCAGGAACACCTAAGGTCTCAAACCTATTTAATCTTCATAATATGTAAGTGCATGATGCTTCTATGCAGTAAAACAAAAATATTATTTTTTCTAATTTATCTTGATATATGTGGGCTAACCCCTACGAAAAGATCGAGTTTTTAGATAAAGGCTATAAATTGAAGTTAAGGCTCTTGATTGTTGATTAAAAATATCAAATCAGATTATCATTTTAATATAATGTATTTTAAATTTATTTACATTATACAAGAGCATCGTTTCAAACTTTTTAACGAGTAATTAATTTTATCTTCATATACCACTTAATAAATGTCCTAACCCTAATAAAAATTTATTTTTTGGAAAAACGAGAACACGTTAGGTCTCAAACCTATTTAATCTTCATAATATGTTCGTGCATGATGATTCTATGCAGTAAAATAAAAATATTATTTTTCTAAATTATCTTGAAATATGTGGCTAACCCCTACGAAAAGATCGAGTTTTTAGATAAATGCTATAAATTGAAGTTAAGGCTCTTTATTGTTGATTAAAAATATCAAATCAGATTATCAATTTAATGGAATGTATTTTAATCAAATTATCATTTTAATATAATGTATTTTAAATTTATTTACATTATACAAGAGCATCGTTTCAAACTTTTTAACGAGTAATTAAATTTAACTTCATATACCACTTAATAAATGTCCTAACCCCAATAAAAATTTATTTTTTGGAGAAACGGGAACACGTTAGGTCTCAAACCTATTTATTCTTCATAATATGTCTGTGCATGATGATTCTATGCAGTAAAATAAAAATATTATTTTTTCTAAATTATCTTGAAATATGTGGGCTAACCCCTACGAAAAGATCGAGTTTTTCGATAAATGCTATAAATTGAAGTTAAGGCTATTTATTGTTGATTAAAAATATCAAATCAGATTATCAATTTAATTGAATGTATTTTAAATTTATTTATATTGTACAAGAGCATCGTTTCAAAATTTTGAACGAGTAATTATTTTTAACTTCATATACCACTTAATAAGTGGACTAACCCCAATAAAAATTTATTTTTTGGAGAAACGGGAACACCTAAGGTCTCAAACCTATTTAATCTTCATAATATGTCTGTGCATGATGATTCTATGCAGTAAAATAAAAATATTATTTTTTCTAAATTATCTTGAAATATGTGGGATAACCCCTACGAAAAGATCGAGTTTTTAGATAAATGCTATAAATTGAAGTTAAGGCTCTTTAGTTTTGATTAAAAATATCAAATCAGATTATCAATTTAATTGAATGTCTTTTAAATTTATTAACATTGTACAAGAGCATCGTTTCAAACTTTTGAACGAGTAATTAATTTTAACTTCATATACCACTTAATAAGTGGACTTACCCCAATAAAAATTTATTTTTTGGAGAAATGGGAAAACCTAAGGTCTCAGACATATTTAATCTTTATAATATATCAGTGCATGATTCTTCTATTCATTAAAACAAAATCTTATTTTTTTAATTTATCTTAAAATATGTGGACCCTACGAAAATATCGAGTTTTTCGATAAATGCTATATATTGAAGTTAAGGCTCTTGATTGTTGATTAAAAATATCAAATCAGATAAAAAATTTAAATTAATGTATTTTAAATTTATTTACATTGTACAAGAGCATCGTTTCAAAATTTTGAACGAGTAATTAATTTTAACTTCATATACCACTTAATAAGTGGACTAACCCCAATAAAAATTATTTTTTTGGAGAAACGGGAACATCTAAGGTCTCAAACCTATTTAATCTTCATAATATATCAGTGCATGATTCTTCTATGCAGTAAAACAAAAATATTATTTTTTCTAATTTTTCTTGAAATATGTGGGCTAACCACTATGAAAAGATTGAGTTTTTCGATAAAGACTATAAATTGAAGTTAAGGCTCTTTATTGTTGATTAAAAATATCAAATCAGATTATCAATTTAATTGAATGTATTTTAAATTTATTTACATTGTTCAAGAGCATCGTTTCAAACTTTTGAACGAGTAATTAATTTTAACTTCATATACCACCTAATAAGTGGACCAACCCCAATAAAAATTTTTTTGGAGAAACGGGAACACCTATGGTCGCAAAACTATTTAATTTTCATAATATGTTAGTTAATTATGCTTCTATGCAGTAAAACAAAAATATTATTTTTTAATTTATCTTAAAATATGTGGGCTAACCCCTACGAAAAGATCGAGTTTTTCGATAAAGGCTATATATTGAAGTTAAGGCTCTTGATTGTTGATTAAAAATATAAAATCAGATAATCAATTTAAATTAATGTATTTTAAATTTATTTACATTGTACAAGAGCATCGTTTCATACTTTTGAATGAGTAATTAATTTTAACTTCATATACCACTTAATAAGTGGACTAACACCAATAAAAATTTATTTTTTGGAGAAACGGGAACACCCAAGTTCTCAAACCTATTTAATCTTCATAATATTTCAGTGCATGATGCTTCTATGCAGTAAAACAAAAATATTATTTTTTCTAATTTATCTTGAAATATGTGGGCTAACCACTACGAAAAGATTGAGTTTTTCGATAAAGACTATAAATTGAAGTTAAGGCTCTTTATTGTTGATTAAAAATATCAAATCAGATTATCAATTTAATTGAATGTATTTTAAATTTATTTACATTGTACAAGAGCATCGTTTCAAACTTTTGAACGAGTAATTAATTTTAACTTCATATACCACCTAATAAGTGGACCAACCCCAATAAAAATTTATTTTTTGGAGACACGGGAACACCTATGGTCGCAAACCTATTTAATTTTCATAATATGTTAGTGCATTATGCTTCTATGCAGTAAAACAAAATATTATTTTTTTAATTTATCTTAAAATATGTGGGTTAATCCCTACGAAAAGATCGAGTTTTTCGATAAAGACTATAAATTGAAGTTAAGGCTCTTGATTGTTGATTAAAAATATAAAATCATATAATCAATTTAGATTAATGTATTTTAATTTTTTTTACATTGTACAAGAGCAACGTTTCAAACTTTTGAACGAGTGTAATATTATGTTTTAAACAAGGCTTGGCAGGAAAAAAATAGTTTTATAGTAAATTCTAGTGCTTATGATTGGAAATTTGAAAAGACTAATATACAAATGATAAATTTACAACTGCTTTTATTGATGATATAGTCATATAGAACACGTGTTTTGTTGAGGTTTAACAAAGTCATAAGTTTTTTTTTAATAATCTGAGGATATCTGAACTCGAAGGCCCAACTAATTTTCAGGAGGTTTGTCCACCGATAACATGCAAGTCTGGTTGCTCTATGTATAAGTTAGATATCCACGTTATCTGATAATGCAGACAGATAAACTTAGGTTGATAGGTTTCAATCCGGTGCAGTTAGATCATTTTCCAAATCTGTCATACCACCCAACTAAGTTGCAAGTTGGAAACTGAAAGAAAAAAAAAGAGTGGCAGCATAATGCTCTCTCCATTTCTTAATGTAAATTGTTTTAGAAGATTTTTCTTGTTTCAAAATATAAGTTATTTACAATTTCCAATGTAACTTTTGTATTTATTAAACAGTATGTAGATAATGTTATATTTCTATTATTGGTTGAATCATTTCTAATACATATATTAGATGATATTTTAAAAAATGTAACAACTTTCTTAATTAATGTGCTTTTAGCTAAAACAATTTACACTGTGGAACTGAAGGAGTACTATATTGTAATATATATATATATATATATATATATGTGTGTATTTGTGTATGAGAAAAAGGGTGTGAATACGAATGAAGAGCCGGATGTTTCTCATGCATGGGGTATGAGCGGAGTCAACGGCTTCCTGGTTCATATATGAAACACGTGTTACGCGTTTGTTAGTCTACCCATATTCTACTCACTCACGAACTTTGCTATTAAACTCACAAATTTTCCTGTTGTTGATAAAACGTAAACCAAAAATAATCCAAATACTAGGAAAAAATCAAAAAGGAGTTGTTTCATCAATCAAACCTAACCCATCACATATCAGAAACAAGAATGACAAGACTCTAAAGAAATATATTCTAAGAAGAAAGAAAAATCGAATTAATTAATCTAATATTATTTTTCTCTAGAAATCTATTAGATCTTTGAGAAAATTTATAAAAAGACAAGAATTCGTCCAGATACATAGCAACATGACGGACACCAACACTGCCCGGACGATCGTCGGAATCATCGGTAAGTCCTCAAAATTTAACCAAACATACAAATTATGCCAATGAACAAAACAAACGTTGCTAATTAATGAATTAAATTTTGTTATGTTAAGGAAACGTGATCGCCTTCGGCTTGTTTTCCGCTCCAATGTAAGATACATAACATATTATATGTTTTGTTGTTTGTAAAATGATGTTCAAATGATGTTAATCTAATGCATGGCATGATGTATATACATGCAGACCAACGATGGTGCAGATATGGAAGATGAAATCGGTGTCTGAGTTTAAGCCAGATCCGTACGTAGCTACTGTTTTAAACTGCATGATGTGGACCTTCTACGGACTTCCTTTTGTCCAACCCGACAGTCTCCTCGTCATCACCATTAATGGAGCTGGTCTCGTCATGGAACTTGTTTACGTCATCATCTTCTTCATCTTCGCAACGTCTCCTGTCCGTGTAAGTATCTAATCCCCCAATATGAACATGCATGCATCCACGATAATCATATATTTTTATTTTTTTTGTAACCATGGTTGTATCTGAGCTATAGGAAGCTATAAACAGTTACAAGTTAATCTTTAAAAATTTGATAATTTTATGGTCATACATTATAGTTGATTTAAAATTTGGGGTTAGATCGAATGTTTTTTCTTTTGGGGTTAGATCGAATGTTTCATTTAGAACCGGTTTTGTTTGTAACTACAATGAAACCTCTATAAATTAATAATGTTGGGACTACTCCAAAATTATATTTTTTATTAATTTATAGATTATTAATTTATCGATATTCTAACTGAACCAAAAATTTAATTTGGGACTACAAATGATATTATTTTATAGAGATTTTTAGTGTATATTAATATATAGAGTATTAATTTAAAGAGGTTATATTGTACTAAAGATCTCTAGAAAAATTGGAGATGGTTTCTGATATGCGTATTTCATGAAAATTTGTTTTATATACAGAAAAGGATTACAATAGCTATGGCGATTGAGGTGATATTTATGGCTGTGGTGGTCTTCTGCACATTATATTTTTTGCATACAACAAAACAGAGATCTATGCTTGTTGGAATCTTATGCATTATATTCAATATTATCATGTATGCTTCTCCTTTAACCGTCATGGTATGCTATTATCTTCTTTCTCATTTTGCTATCATTGTTTTTATTTCTTGTTGTGTTGTGAAGTAATGTATTTAATTAATGTGGGTTTAGGCCCTTGTGATAAAGACAAAGAGCGTGAAGTACATGCCGTTCTTCCTGTCATTAGCCAACTTTATGAACGGCGCCATTTGGATCGTTTATGCATGTCTCAAATTTGACCTCTATATTTTGGTAAACTTCTATTTTCACCCTTTCAATGTTCAACAAGTCAATATATATCTTTTTTATTATTATTAGAAAGCACTAATATATTCATTTGTTTCATAAAAACAGATCCCAAATGCTCTTGGATGCCTATCAGGAACTATACAATTTATATTATACGCAATGTACTATAAAACAACTAACTGGAAAGACGATGATGAAGATAGAGAAAAACGCAATTTGAGTGCTGAAATTGAGCTTTCCCAAGCTTGACAATTGCAGCTGTAGATTGCACTTTTCCCCCATTTTTTCTTTCGGTTTTACTAGGATGTATCATCATTGAGTGGTGATGACCACTTCATCGTTAGGTTAAAATAGAATCAGAAGAGATGCTAATGAAAATACAAAAAGAAAAAGAGGAACCCTTGAAGTTATAATCTTTTCTTGAGTAGGAAGAAAGAAAGGGGTTTAACTATTTTACTTTTGTTGAAAATTGAAATGATTAATCTTATGTGATTGTTGTTACATTATTAGATTATTTTTATGACATTTATTGGAAGCTGTAAAGGAAAAAAACAAACTCGTTCATTAGGGATGATGTTCAAGAACAGAGTAATAAATAAACAAAGGTTCTTTTGTTTTAGGTTTGTTTTGGTTCTGACCGGTTAAAGATTCGTAAACCTCAAACCATAGTGTCCCATTTAAGTTGATGACGATTGAATTATGTTATCATCATTACCGGCGGTCACCAACACCGCACACCATCTTCACTGGCCGGAAACCAACCAAATTCTTTGTGAGTTTAGTTTCCTTTCCAAGCCTCACTCCTTGCCTCAGATTACGTACTAAGTAAGAAACAAGAATTGACAATGTCAACAAAAAAGAATTGACCATGTCGAACATGAGTCTTAACTTTTAAGAAAATACATTTTAGCAATTAAATATAAATATGTGCACAAAAAAGCAATTAAATATAATGGAACTAATTCTCTTAATTATGATCACTTTAGATAATGTTAAAATCAAACTTTCACACTGATTCATCTGATTTAAACTGGTTCAAGAATGGCATTTGCTGACTAGTATAACTAATTGAACTGTTTTCAAAAAATAAAGAATGGCCTTTGCAAATTATTGTAAGATGGAAAAAGAAAGTGTTGTAAAGGCATCCACAACCGTGTTACTCATAGATCGATAATCCATATAAAATTTTTAAATTATTTTATTATTTTAATAGAATGGGCTAATTATGGGTTTCCACGCGGTGAAACATGCGCACAGTGACGAGCCTGGCAGCGAGCAAGAAACAATTATAACACAAATTCCTAATTTTTTTAGTCTCCATATATTATAAAAATAATTTGTTGCTAAGGATTTTTTTGTAAGGATCAGCGTTGCAGCTGCTCTCTGTAACTATAGATTTTGAAAGATTCATATGTTAAAGATAAAAAAATGAAAAGAGAAAATAAATAAATAGGAGTGGGTGGGTTGCTTTACTTTGTGCTTTAACAAAGAGAAAAAGGCAAAACAATGCTTTTAATATTTTACCTTTTTCTTTCATTTATACTTTAACGATGGAGACATTTGATTCAAAAGCGAATGCTTAAAAACTGCAAATATTTTGACAAGATTGAAAACGATAATAATTGATAGAGATCAATGATGCTTTCCTTTAATTAGCTTAGTCTTCATCTTTGGTGTATATTCTTTATGTGCTTTTCGTGGACTACCTTTAACTTTCTGCTGATTTTTATTCAAGAATCACCTTATGTTTTTTGTAATTTGATTCAGACAAATATATATATATATATATATATATATATATATATATATATATATATATATATATATGTATAGTAGAATGATATGTCGAAAATAATCCAATTAAACAACATTTAATCTGTTACATCCAGAGCCAATCCTAGGAAAACAGGACCATAAACAAATTTAAAAAAATTGGCCGTTTTTATGGAGGTTCAAACCATGGTTGGACAAAGAGAGATTTTGGATTCGAATTTTACCACTAGACCAAATGAACGTTTTGAAATTTTGTGGTCAAAATTATGTTCAGAATAAAACGGCCGGAAGCAGTGGCTTCTTTGGCTTGGCCCAAGGGCCGGCTCTGGTTACATCCATCGGAATGCAGATTTTGTGATTTATAAAAATTTACAGAACTGAAAAATGCATACCGTATGCGTGTATTTTATTTAGTAAACTGGTATATTACTTTCGCAATATTGAATCTTTATGAATACTAAAAAGAGCAAAGAAAATCAGCACACACATGCACAAAACGTAAACATATTAATGATTACGTCATTAGTAACATCTGAGTCAGATATATACATAGATTGCATCATAAACTGACGTGTTTCATTACTATTGGTTCACAGCATCTGAGTGTAGTTAATGCACTCATACAATCGTCACAGTGGATCACTATTCGTTTAATTCTCCATGAAGAAAACAGAAAAAGTGGGTCCCATTCACTTTTACCGCGAAAACAAATATAAAAACAAGAGTTAAAGTTTCTTTTTCTTTACACACACAAAAACTCTTCAAATCAATTGTCGCCGGAGAGACTCGAACCGGTGATCTCCTCTTCTTCCACCATGAAGCGAACAACCTCATCAAACTCAGAACCACAAAGCTACATAGAGTCACCTCTCCGCTTCCATTCCCCTCTCTCCGACGCCGGAGATCCACCGGAGAGCCGTTACGTCTCCCCTGAAACCTCCCCTTTCAAACTCGAAAACCCTAAAACCGACACCAAGTTCCCGCCACTTCCTCCTCCTCCTCCTCAGTATCCTCCGCCGCGGCGTCAGAGAAATGCTAGACCAGCTCCGGCGTCGGCGTCCGATAAGTCTCCGTCGTCTATGGTGGTGGTGAATCGGTGGGTGAGAGAGGAAGGTCGAGAGACTGCGACGAGGAAGGTTGGAGAGACGACGACGGCGACGGTGGGGAACAGGAGGAGAGGAGATGAAGCGGTGGCGATGGCGGCGTTAGGGTTTAGAGTGAGTGAAGTGGTTTTGTGTTTGGTATCGTTTTCAATCATGGCGGCTGATAAGACGAAAGGGTGGAGTGGTGATTCTTATGATCGTTACAAAGAGTACAGGTCACGTCACTCTCTTGTTCTTTACATTTTTTTTAGGGTTTTAGAGTTGGAAC